TGGAGTTGACATTTACTGATAAGAGGAAGGAGCAGTCTTGGAAACAAGGAGATCCAAGTCTGCTTTGCGAGTGTTCAGACGCCTGCTGAAAATCTGGAGGATGCTAAAGCGACTGGATTTGGAAGTAGACAGCTCACAGGTGAAGTCTAGGCTAGATGTCTGCAGTTGGAAAGGTTTTCGCAGGTACAAGGTGGGCTGGGCTCCTCAGGCAGAGATGACAGGCACACAAGAGGAGTTGTGGGCCATCCCATTGCCTTTTCATGCTGATGGGCCGGGGGGAGAGAGAGAGAGATGGAAGGCGGGGAGAGTAGAACAGGGAGTCCACTGAGGAAGGGGAAGAGCCAGAGAGAGCATCCTGGAAGCTAAATAAGTTGTTTCAGGAAGGAAGGAGAGATGAGCAGAGTCACCTGATGGGAGGTAACAAGATGGGATCTTGACTATGGCCTCAGCAAAATGGAAGAGCCTGACTGGAATGGGCTGAAGAAAGAGCAGGGATGGAAAGAGGAAATGAAAATGTCTCTACCAGAGGGGTGCAGGAGTGGCTGCAACAAAATGCTTAAGCCTGAGTAATTCATAAGGAACAGATTTATTTCTTGCAGCATTTTAGGTGGCAGATTCTGAGATCGAGGGGCCTATTTGATGAGATCTGTGCTTCCACCTCATCCCCTGGGGAGCATGGTAGAGCAGGGTGTCCTGCAGAAGGAGAGTGAAGGAAAGGGAGTTGAGCCATCTCCTGTCAGGAACTCACTCCTGTGACAAGGGCATTGACCTGTGTGTGGGGGTAGAGCCCTCGACCAGAGAGCACAGTGGCACCCAGAAGGTTTCTTCTTGTTGTTAAAGGTGGGGACTATGATGGAAGCTTATTGTTGGTGGGAACAATCTGGTAATGCAGGGAAATGTAACAAAGGAAAAGAGAAGGCTTTTCCTGGATGTGTTCTTTATAAGGCAGAAGGGGCTACAGCGGTATGTGCAAGCAGCGCACTTGCTCTCAGGTGGATGCCAATCTGTTCATTCCGATCCCAGGAGGGGATGGCTATGTGTGCATGCACACCGGTGCATTGGGGCGAAACTGCTGTGTCTGCTGATGCCTGGGCAGTGCACGGACAGCACAAAGTTTTATGGTGGCTCCAGCCCTCGGTGCTTAGGAAACTGATGGCCCACAGAGACCTTTTCATGTTGACTGATTAGGTTCTTTAGTCATCACAGCTACAAACGTATAGTTCCTGACTTTAAAATGGAACATGGCATTATCTTTAGTAGCTAATTCCCACTTAAATTGGTAGTATTAATGTTTATTGAATCCTCTGTATAATCTCACTTAAACCTATCACCAAATCCATGATGTTGGAACTGTTACTGTTCTCTAGCTACCCATTGAGGAAATGGAACCTACAAGAAATGCAGAAGCTGAGTGTGGTGGTGCATGCCTGTAAACCCAGCATTTGGGGAGGCTGAGACAGGAGGATTGCTGCAAGTTTGAGGCTAGCCTGAGCTACAGAGTGAGTTCGATGCTAGGCCGGAATACATAGCAAGACACTGTCTCAAAAACAAAAACAAAAGAGTTTGGTGGATAAGTTGATTTAGCTCATTTCTTTCTGATACATTTCATAAAGAAATGAAATTCATTCCCTTCCCATATGCTGTACTGCTGGGTGGAAGAAATTGGGTTTGTAAATGCATAATTTCTGAATGCATTAAATCAACACCAGATAAAATTTGATTTTCTTATGTGGTTGTAATATGAGATTAAAATGCTTATGATAGCTTTGAGCTTCTATCTACCACCCATTTTTTCCTGTTAATACTCAGAATTTAAGAGCTGTCTACTAACATTACACTAGAGGAAACATTGGCTGACTGGCTTTGGGAGGTAAAACGTCATCATGCTTGTGGTGGTTTCTCTTTGTAGGTCAGACCTTAAGTTAGAAATTGCCAGCAAGATATTCCATGTACTGTGAAGTGGGTGTGAGCATGAGCATGCAAACCTGCTGTCAAATGTGCAAGGACAAGAGCTGAAGTTTCCCTTAAATTCCCCTCACGTGGTGCAACCGGCCTTCTAGATTTACTTTATAATTTACAAAACAGGGGCAATCAAATCTGTGACTGTGACTGTTCTGTTAGAGGTGATGTATTCTCAAGTGGAAATCATAGAGCATTGTGCTTACCATGTCAGTATGTGGGCCCTGCCTGGGTTGCTCCTCTGTCAGTTCTGTTAGCTGCCATCTGGGAGCTGGTGGTCTTGAGGGTCCACAGAGTGTATTTGCCTTAATCTTCTGCTGGAAAATGACTGATTCAAGGTTCAACTTCAGAAATGTTTCTTAAGTGTATATTGTAGGAATGCTATGTTATTTACTATTAGGAAAGCCAAAGTTTAATAGAAATACACCATCTTTATTCTGAATAAAAACTCAGAACATATTTTCTGACACAGGAGAAATGCGACTGTCCCCGAGACTGTGTGGCTTGCTGTGGGCAGGAGGCTCTGGTGTCCTTGTGTGTGTCAGAGCCTCCTTGAGTCTTTTCAAGTTTGCTTGTTTTCCAGTCACTTAATCCAGCTGTCAGTGCCTTGTCTGGACTTTCTGGTATGGATTCCTTTCAGAGGAGATTGGAAATCCATACAATTGAAATTGATCATTGCTTCCTCCTTTCCTGCAAACACTAAACTGATGGTTAGAAAAGGAGTTCTGCAGTTATCATCAGTGCAGTCAGACACTCACAGGTCTTGCATGGTGCGTTTGTAAGTCAGCGTGGCTGTCGTGTGGAGATACAGCAGAGGTTCTGTGGTTACCTGCGGTCCTCTCAGTACATGATAAACAGACCCTCTAGCAGGGGACACTGGTGTGAGTGGAACCTTGTGTTGGGTGGTACCGGGGACACTATACTGTGTGGCCTTGGCAGCTCCCAGGCCTCAGGGGTTCATGGTTACTTTGGGGTTGGTGAAGTGCCTATCCAAGGGCTGGACCTGCCCTCACTGCAGCAGCTTTCCTTATACCGGTCTGTGCCCCTGGCACTCATGTTTACCCCTAAAATTGCCACTTGCTTTTCTAAACCAAAATATAGAAATGTCCATATGCATTTTTCCTAAGAGACCAGGCCATTGTCTGTGCCACTGGTGCCAGTCTGAGCATGACAGGGCTCCTGATGCTGTGGGTGCTGGAGCCATGCTCCTCTCTGCTCTGTAAATAGCATGTGTTTCATCCTTTTCTGCCAAGCATTTGCGGGGCTGATGCTTATTCTGTGCACTTCATGAAGAGGGGTTTCTGTTTAAATGCATTGGTCATTATAAGTGACAGAATGAAAGCATGCCGTTTCTGAGTAGAAAAATTTCTTGTTTTTCTTTTGATATTCTACACATTGCTTGAGAACATGACTTTATAAAGATACTTTAAGAGCACAGGTCTTGGATCTCATGCTCTAAACACTATTGGTGGTAAAACATGAAGTTTCTATCTATAGACAGTTTATGAATAGTATTTTTTAAGTGCATTTAAACACACTATAGGACAAATCTTGGACTGGAGTAAGGAATATGGGGAACTTATTTTTATTTATTCTTTAGTAATTACTTTTAACAATTTTAATTCTTTTAGTACATGTTTGCAGTACCTAATGATTACATTCCTGGTGTGGAGTTGGTACATGTACATAACACATCTTAATTTTTACCATCCCCCCTTCTTCCTCCATCTCTTGTTCCTTTTCCCTTTTGCAAAAGATTTATGTCATTATTTCTTTTTATCTATGAAGATGGGGAATCTTTAATTCATAATCTCAGGCTTTCCTTTCCATGATTACTTATTTACTTTTTCTCATTCTTTTCTTCTCTTATCAGGTCCAGGGCCTGGTGCACACTAGGCAAGGGCTGTCATGCTGATCTGTGTCCCTTCAATTTTATTTTGAGGTGGGGCCTTACAAAATCTCCTGGGCTCGCCTTGAACTTGCAATCCTCATGTCTCAGCCTCCTAAGTAGCTGGAATTACTAGTGTGTGCCATCCTGCCTGGCTTTTCTTTTCCATTGTTTCTTTCTCCAGAATTCACTATCTTATCTTTCCCAAGGAGTATCCTTTCCCAACAGTGATTACATTTTAGGAGACATAGTACTAGCCTCTGGCCAAGGTAGGGGAAGTAAGTCATAATTGTGAAATTCAGCTAACAAGCGTCTACCTGTATCGTAAGGAGGGTTCCAAATATACTTTCATTTCCAAGTGAGTGTGTGTCTCATGCAAGGAACACAAGTGCCAAATGAGAATGCTGTTCTCTGGTGACTGGTATCTGTATGTTCAAGTTTTAGATCATGATCTTTTTGTCCATTCTTCTGACTTTTTTCACATGAGGATAGGTGGGACACAGCATGATATAGCTCAGAGGTTGTGGGCTTTGGAGTACGGCTTGGATTTAAATCTCACGTTCACAATTGTTTGATCTTAGATGCAGACTTTTCCAGAATCTATTTCTTCACTTGTGAAGTATAGTTTTTAGGGTTGTTATGACTAAAAATGTATGTAAACTATAGCACTATAAGCTGCAGTGTATAAGTTATAGGCTTAGGGTAGAAGTAACATAAGGTGGCTATTGGAATTAGTATAAATTTTCAGATTTCTATAAGGAAAAGATGAAAACAATAAATGTTCTACATAATAGCAGCCCTGATAAAGCTTGTAGCAGCTGCTGCTTATGCCAATAATAAATTATTTGGTTTTATGTCTTAATTTTTAAGCAAGCTCGGTATAGTTAATAGAAACTTATTGTTCTAATGCTCTGAAACATGTAAGAAATTAGTATTCGCAGTGTAGATTTTTTAAAATTAAAAAATGATTCATTGAGTTACCCAAGTACATTTTGAGCATGACTTGATTCTCACAATTCAGTATTTTTGAGGTGGTTCAGTATGCACTATGAAAAGCGAGGTACAGCCTGTGAGGGGGTGTTTGATGCCTGTGTCCTGTCCTTCTGTGTACTCTTGTCACACAAGGTACTACAGTTCTGTTTTTACCCCACAGATTTACCAGTGAGGAGGCACAGAGAGTATGAGCTAGTGACTCCCATCAGCACCAATGTAGAAGGACACTATCTCTCTCATATGCTGTCTGCAAGTCACAAAAAGAGGTCAGCGAGGGATGTGTCTTCCAACCCTGAGCAACTGTTCTTTAACATCACTGCCTTTGGAAGAGGTTTTCATTTGCGCCTAAAGCCCAACACTCAACTAGTAGCTCCTGGGGCTGTTGTGGAATGGGGTGAGTCCTCTCCAGTGCCTGGGGATGTGACCAACCCTGTGAATGACCACGGGCCCGGAAGTACTTCGGAAGGAGTCTGGAGAACAGAGCCTCTGCAGAGCACCTGTGCTTATGTCGGTGACATTGTGGACATTCCAGGAACCTCTGTTGCCATTAGCAACTGTGATGGTCTGGTAAGACTCATTCCCTTTGCATGTGCGTGCGTATGTGTATGTGTGTGCACACACGGGTGTCAGGGTGCAGTGTGTCTTCAGCATGGTTTGGAAGATAGAAGTGCAAAGGAAACCCCTAATTCATTGTTAGATTTTAAGTTCAGAGGAAAGCATCAGGAAGCACTTTACTGTCAAAGGCATATGCACTGACTTAATTGAAGACAGGAAGACAACATTATCCAGGAAACGACAGACAAACTGTCCCCGCGTGCTTTTCATTTTCCCTTGTGGTATATTGGGAGATTTTGTTGACTTATTTTTTCAGAACTTCCTGAAAACTTTCTAAAGAAATATAGATTTCTCTAGAAGGACTATATTTCACTTCCTTTGTGGAAATGTTGGCTAGCATCATAAAGTATTCTTTATCTTTCTAACACAATGCTGAAGTAGGAATGAGATTTCTTGTTAGAATTTGCCCAAGCAGCATGACTTTATGAACATGTGATGTACTTCTGTATGATAGCTTTGATTTTTCTAAAATAAGATGCCAATAAAGTGTGTTTTGGTTTTGTAGCTGAGGCCAACAGCAGCCACCCCTCCTTTCTGACTGTGAAGGAGTAGTGTGTTCTTCTGGGTTTGTGTCTCTGACGTCACTTGGGGATTGTGTCAGTGTTCATGAATCTTCCGTGCACAGCTGACTCCAGGTCTTTGTTCAGAAAAAGCAACTGGCTTTTTCCTGTGGTTTTCAGGTTGCTGATTTTTCGAAATTCAGAGCTCTTACTCTTGCTTCTGGAGTTCTCAGAGCAGCCCATTCTTTGTAATAATTACTCTGTTTGGTTGCTATTTGACTATAAATACCTTCTGAATTTTGCCTTTATCTTCTAGGTTTACTGTAAGGAGCACTGGTACAGCCCAAGTAAATTCTGATACCTATGTTTTAATGAATACTGGTGAATGAATTGTGCTTTAGGCTTTAGTTTTGCAGGCTTGCACTAACTCTTGATGCCTTGCACTTTTTAAAACTTGGTGCAGGAAATTGTGTAATGTGTACAACAGGTGTAGATCTCCAACTTGGCTGTGTTAGTATAGGATCTGTGCCTTGCAGTGGGTGGTAGACCTTTTTCTGGGACTGAAGACACAGGGAATCACATTCTTAACACACTGTATATTAGATTGAGTAGACTTGAATTAGTTTTTTTTGTTTTGTTTTGTTTTTTTTTGGTATTGGGGATCGAACTCAGACCTTGCTCTTGTGAGGCAGGCGATGGCACCACTGAGCTAAATCCCTGGCCCATAATTTGTTTTTAAATTTTAAAAAATCAGGACTTTCTAGAAAAGAAGACTGAATGAGTTTGAATTTAAGTGTTGAAGAGGGACTCTGACTCAGTACTACAGTATGAAAGGAAATTCTACAATAATGGTATTGTTTTATAACACTTGACTAACATTTTATAGAATTAATCTTAATCTAGTGTTAATTTTTAATTTCATAGTATAAAAGTTATGTTCTATTTTAGTTAAGATTTGAAATTTTGGGATATTGACTTGAAAATCAGTTTAAGGAAGGAAAAAAATGAAATCATTTTAATGGATTATCACAATGATATTTAAATCTAGCTTAATAATAACTGTTTTCTTACCATATATGTCTGATTATCTCATCATATACAGAAATCTAGGAAAATAAGTTTTTATGAAGAAAAGGGAAATAGATATAAATTGTGAAGGGATATTATTAGAATTGTTTAATTTTTCATATTTAAGACAGCATTAACTTTGTTATGTATGTGTCAGTGTAAGTGTATGTGTGTAAAAGTTGTGTATCACAAATGTTCATTGTTTCATTCTTTGGTCCCTTAACTAATTTAAAAGCATTTGTGGGAAGCCAGATGGACCTAGCACTCTTCCAGGTGCTGTAAAGTGATGACAAAAGTAATCATGGTTACATCCTTTACAGCATAAAGATACTAAGTTTACCACAGAATCTGTGTCAAAACTCTGGCCGAAATTTACTTCATGCATATATATATATATGTATGTATGTATGTATTTAAATATGTGTATACTTCAGAATGTGTACGAAGCACCTTTACCTTAGATCATCATTAAGGGAAGTATCTGCTGCAGAGATTTTATGAATGAGACAGTTTCTAAGCATAGAGAGTGACCCAGACCTTGGACTGGATCCAGTAAGACCGGGTTGGGCTCAGCAGGTGGTGCTCGGATAGAAGCCCTTTTCTAGAGTTTTCAGCTCACGCCAGCTGGGTGCCCAGAAGAAGAGAGCAGTTAGTGACAGAAACACAAGCAGAGTTCAGGAGAGCAGGCCAGGAGATTTGAGGATCAATACGGTGACTGTCTCCTGGAGCTGGAGATTAATTCTTTAAATTGTAGTATTGCTTGTTGGCTGGCATTAGACCTTAGAGATACAGCAGGAGGTTCATTGGTGAGAGTGTGGTTACATTTAGCTGATCAACAATTTCCTAAGTTCTTTTGTTCCTTTATCTTGGTACCTAGGGGTTGAAGCTTGACCTTAAGGAGGGGAGCAGGGATATTGTGATAGCATAGATGCTTGGGAACTAACCCTACGGGAGATGAAGCCACAGCTCTGGAAGGCACAGGATTGTAATCAAGTCCAAGTTGTCCTAGGAGAAACTTGTCACTTCTAGCCTCAAAACACTGACAAGAAGACCTGTGTCCAGCACACATGTAGTTAGGTCTGCATGGAATACAGCGGTGTCAAAGTCCTGCCTGGATCAGAGCTGTGGTTGGTCAGTCCACTGCAGAGTGGGGCAGCAGGGGTTTAGTGTGGGATGTCACACTTGGGTGCTGTGGAACAGTGGCACACAGGAGGAACCATAGGTCCTGTCCACAAGGGCTGATAGGTTCACAGCAAGGCCTCTCCATTAATGAAATCCTTACCTCTTTTTCTCTTATGCTGCCTTATCAAGTGTGATGTGAATTTGAAATGTGGAGAACATGAGGTAGAATTAATTCATATTACACAGAATTTATTTAATGTAATTAAAAAGCCCAGAAGTTCCTGAAAGTGGGTGTCATAGAATCAGGTTTGTGTTTAGATACAGACAATGTAACTGAATTAAATTTTTATAGCAGTTTGAGTGTTACTTTATATGTGTTGAATCTACTAATAAATTTGAAAGTGTAGCTTTTATTTTGTGTCTTCATTTTATTTTCCAGTTAGCAACTTTTTATTGTAGTCTTTTTCTGAAAATGCTGGTCTGAAACTGGGAAGAAAGAAAATTGTTTCTATGACAGTTAGTTTGAGAAGGATGTGGGGTGACTTAGCTGATTTCACTCATAGTGGACTAAAATAGGTATAGTTTGCTGATCTAGGTAACTTCATGAAATGATCAGAAGAAAGACAACACAGGCTCTATCGAGGGAGACAGAAACAGTGTGTTGAGTGACACCTGAAAAAATCTAGCATGTGATCTAGACATGGCTATGCATAATAATGAAAATATTCTAAAGTGGCTTCCTGAAATCCAAAGTCTTTTCATAAAGAAACTGATAAAGATTTTTTTCCCCCTGTGTGACCAGTATTTGTTCCTAATACTGACCTTTTCCTGTTCTCTGTCAAGATTATCACTTAGGAGTGACCAAACATTTTTGACCAACTTCAACTTTATTTTTATTTTATACTACCTTTTACATAAGAATTGTGAGGTAATCAGCCTTAAAAATGTTCCACTTTTTTTGTCTCTTTTTGGAGTGATAGGGATTAAAATCAGGTTAGGCAAGCATTGAGCTCTGTCCTCTGCCTTTGCTCCCCCACTTTTAAATTTTGAGACAGGATCTCACTGTTACCCAGGCTGGCCTCAAACTTACAGTCTTCCTGCTGCAGCTTTCCCAGAGCGGGGATTACAGGCGTGTGCTGCCACACTTGACGGACTGTGCCTGCTTTCTGACAATCTAGAATAAAGCCCTGCTTCTCTAGACAACTCCCACTCCCAGATTATCCTACTAACCAAATCCTAGACCCTGTTGGTGGTATGCATAGTTTCTTACTAACAGTCTCTTAACCAGTGTGCTTTTGTCTTCCTCTGCTCTGTGTGCCAACTGTACGTGCTACTGATGATCTTTGGCCAGAAGGTGTTGAACTTTTCTGCCTATTGTCTCTAGAGCAGGAGACCCATAGTGAGAAGTCATGGTGGTGGCAGGCATTCCAGACCTCTTGGTGAGAAGACACTACCTGAATGTGTGGATATCCCCTCTGTCCCATCAAGGAACCCACTACAAAATACACTTTTTCCGAGTTCTCCCATTTGCTCTGTAATGCCTTTAAATCACCCTTGTGAGTAGTGACAGTTCACAGTTCTGTTTTATGGTCTATTCATTTCCCAAAATAAATGTTTGTTTGGTTAGTAGGCTTTATGTTGTGAGTTTCATAATGTAAGGAAATTGGATTTTTCTAGACTTGCTAAAACAATATTGCCTTGTTAATTCCCCTGGATTTTGAGTAGAGGGGGCTGGTGGAGAATAGGAGAACTGACTAGGACTAGTTAATTGCTCTCCCAAGCTGTGCAAGTTCAGTGATTTCCTTGTGGGCTGACTTTAAGATCAAAGAGTTTATTTAGGACAGAGATTTCAACCTTTTCTTCAGCACTTGTAAATCTTCCTTCAAATGGAATGATCAGTGGTTATCTAATGAAATAATACATAAAGTGGATAAACTCAGGGAAAGTTTGGTTGAAACACGGGGGGGAGATTTTCTTTTTCCTCACCCACTACTGGTAGATTCTCTGAGGGGTACTAGTCCAAGAAGGGATCTATACTAGGAAGCTGGGATTTTTTGGAAGTTAAAGCTAACTACTTAGGAGTCATAAATGAACCTCTTTTCTAAAATAGCTGGTCGTCATGTCTGATTAATGTTTGAGGCATTTTATCCCTGTTAGATTTGGGACAGAACCAAATGTACTCTGTGAGAGCAGTTGCAAACTTCTAATAAAATCACCCCAGTTCTCTGCCTTAAGACTTCTGCCTTGAGATTTGGTCCTTTC